CGATCAGTGGTTACCGAGATATCAGTCGTCGATGACAAAAAGGTAATGTTTCATTCAAAATCAAATATCTCCACGCTAATTGATGGTATCGAGATTTTAAAGACACCGTATTAAAGCTGAATAAACGGGCTATACGATCCATATAATGACCTATCTGAAAAAAAAATTGAAGCCCGTGGACCAAAAAAAGGAGGCAAAAATTTTGCTGATAATTTTCCTTGCTCTATCTGCAAAAATTTCATGAGAACCGTTGCTTCTAATATTTTTCGGTCATGAAGCCTAAAAACTTGAATCTGAAAGCTTTAAAAACTTTTTTTAAGTCTAGATGTGACGGTTTGTCACCAAAATGCAGCATCTCAAAAATCACCGAAACATTTGGATTTTTTTTGCATCCTTCATTTTTGAATTGTACTTTAGTGAATTGATCCACCCATTATTTTACACCCTGTATAATATAATACTACAATTCTAGCCTTTGTCCTAACTATGTTCTATGCCACCTTAAGCATCTGGAATATAAGGTAAACTGAATAGTCTTAAATGTTTATACATCCTCGCTATCACTACGAGCCCCTTCCCACTTCAGTTGGCCCAACTATTAAAATCTTAGTTTTTTTCTTATCAAACACAAATAATAAAAATGTAGCAGGGTTTTATAGGTTTAAAATATTAACAATGAATATTTTGATAATATATAGTAGAAAACACCAACTTTGCAGCATAAAAAAAACACATGTTGAAATTTCAGCATATCAACCAATTTTCATTTCAATGCAAAATAAGTCTATAACGCATAGGTGGCTGTGAAAAATAAAAGCCATGACAATTGTTTTTATTAATCACAGCTGTCAGAGTACGTTTAAAATAGTTTTGGGTAGTTAAGGTTTTCAAAATGGGTAGAGGAAAGGTTATTAGTGAGAAAATTCGGTTACTGATAATTAAATTTTTTAATTCTGGGAAATCAAACTCAGAAATTGCAACTTTGTTAGACTTATCGCGGTGCAGTGTAAGAAATATTGTTAGAAGATATAACGTAACTGGTTCAGTTAATATTAAGCCACGATATGTGAAAAAAAGTAATATCTCAAATGCCGACCGAAGAGCATTAAGAAGAAAAATCGTGAGAAACAGGCGTGCCAATTATTTACAATTAAGTGCTCTGTGGAGTGACGCTGTTGGAAGGAGAATTTCGAGGTCAACAACTCATAGAGAGGCCGACAAACTGGGATTTAGCACTTGCAAGGTAAGTTTTCTTATAAAAAAATGTGAAGCAAAAACCATAAAATTGCACTACTTGTTTATAGGCCAAAGAAAAGCCACTATTAACTCCACTGCAAAAGAAAAATCGGCTTAGATGGGCTAAAGAACATAGACAATGGACACCTGAACAATGGTGTGCAATACAATGGAGTGATGAGGCCCGATTCGAAGTTTGTGTTGGTGACAGTCGCAGTAGAGTTATTCGCAGAAAAAAATGAAGCATTCCATGTTGACTGTCTGAATAGAAAAGTGAAATTTCCAGCATCCATTATGGTCTGGGGTAGTATTTCATTAAAAAGAGTAGGAAAACTTCATTTTATTGATGGAAATGTGGATACAAACAAATATTTGGCAATTTTAGAAGAATCGCTTTTACCAGTGATGGAAGAATGTTTGACATCCGGACAAGATTTTGTGTTTCAGCAAGATGGTGCAACGTGCCATACCTCAAAAAAGGCTATAAAATGGATGGAAGAAAATAATGTACCATTTTTGAAATGGGTTTCTAGCAGTCCAGATCTGTCCCCTGTTGAAACTTTGTGGCACGAGATGAAAAAGGTTCTACGACAACATCCTGCTCGTACAATCACCGAACTGAGACAAAAGCTTCAAGAAATATGGGATTGTTTTACATCAAATTTTTGCCAAAACTTGGTTAACACTATGCCCCAAAGAATTTCAGCCGTAATAAAAAATAAAGGTGATGTTACCCAATTGTAATCTTTCAATTGTTGCTTTGTTAACTTCGCGCATTTATTCGCACATTGTTTATTTGTTCAGATGTTCTATTAGTTATAGGTCTAAGTGATTTCAAATATGTATTTTTTACGACTAGAGTGTATCTAAAATGTTTTTGAGAAAATAAATTGTTTTAGAAGTAAATAGTTTCGTCATGTTTAGTTTATAAAGGCATATTTTGGTACAAATCATGAAGCGGGCCAACTGAAGTGGGAAGGGGCTTTTATATCGTAACATAATCATCTAAAACGAGCAAGCTAAAAATAACTCGCTTTCCACCAAGACTCAAAGTCGAGGAAGTTGGAAGTAAACCGCACGGATTTGTTGAAAGCTCATCTAAATTCTCCGAAAGAGCTGCGCAGCATTTTAATAGGATATTGTGCCTTCTTAGTAACCCGATATAAAATCTGAAGTACTTACCGTGAAACCGATTCCCACGGTTGCCGAGAAGTTCCCAGACTGGAATTTTCCGGTGTCGAATTTCACCAGCAGGGAGGTTTTACCGACGCCGCTGTCTCCCAGGAGGATCGTCTGAAAATAAAACAAATGGCACTGGTAGCTTCATTCGTTTTGCGAAAGATCAATCTTCATTATCCTCCGACATCTCATGTAGTATAGAATGTCTGTCATAAATTAAAGCCAATCGAAAGTTGAAATGCAGGTAAAGAGAGGCAACCCAGTAATATCACAGTCGACATTAGGGTGAATTTAGATTTTAAAATGGATGGCTAATTTAAAGATCAATCAATCTGGAATGAAAAAAGAAAAATGCTGCTTCTTCTCACTTAAATATTTTGATAAATAATCAAATTTTGGAGTTTGCAAAAATACTTGGAGTAGTTTTTGACACTAAAATGAGGTTTGTTAAACATGTGAAGAGTCTGTCCCAAAAAACGTATCTCAGGTTACGTACTCTCATAGCAAATCGGTATTTACTGAATTAAACTTCGCAAAAAACTGTGCGAGAGTTTAGTCATATCTATACTAAGTGACATATAAATCCGAACACCCAGTTTAAATGGTTTTATTTTAGTAAAATTTTGTATAAGTACTTAATGAAGCATAATAAGTAAATGATAAAAATTTCAAAATGATTGCACTGCTTTAAAGCCCTTTGACCTTTAATAATGTGTGGATGCACCCTGATGTGCTACGCATTCTCCAACGCGCCTAGGCATGCTTCTGATCAGGTGGTCAATGCCCTCCTGTGGTATCTCATTCCAGGCAACCACCAACTCCTCTCGAAGTGCTTCTAGAGTCTGAGGAGGACGTTGCAAATTGAGCAATCTCCTACCCATCATATCCCACACGTGCTCAATTGGGGATAAGTCGGGAGATCTTGGTGGCCATGGTAACAATGTGACATCATTATGTTGAAAGAAGTCTATTGTGACTCTTGCAACATGTGGTCGGGCATTATCTTGTTGGAAAGTTGGATCTGCCAGGGTGTCAAGATAGGGTAAAAGATGGGGTTCTAGAACTTCGTGGATATAACGCTGCGCGTTCATGTTACCTCTGATGAAGATTAAAGGTGACCTGGAACCATAAGCTATAGCACCCCAAATCATAACTCCAACAGTGTGATGAACATGTCTTTCAACCAAAAACTGTGGATTCCTCCTTTCACCACGTCGCCTTCTAACCCTGGCATGACCATCGTGCATGCCTAAACAAAATCGAGACGTCACTAAAGACAATACTGTTCCATTCCTGATCCCAGAGTGACCGTTGTCTGCACCACTCAAGGCGATTACGTCGGTGTTCTCGAGTTAAAGGGAGGACCCAGTGTGGCCGGTATGAAAACAAGCCAAAACTTCTCATTCGTCGGTAAACACTTCGCATGCCAATAGGTCTTCCGTGTTCTGCAAACCATTCATTTGCAATGGACCTGGTAGTGGAGAAACGGTCCCTTAAGGCCAATAATCTTAGGCGGCGATCTTCACGGCGGCGTCCAGTGCCCCTTGCTCTTTGCGTACGACCTTCTCGAAGCCATGCCTGACAACACCTAACCACAGTGTCTACACTTCTTTGCACTCTAACTGCAATTGCCCGAAAAGAAAGTCCAGCTTCCCGAAGTCCCACTATACGGCCCCTATCAAACTCACTAAGTTGACGAAATCGTACAGGTCTCCGTACTCTAGGCATCGTAACCGATCATAAAGGATGTCAAGAACCAAAATCCGCCAACGTTGATTCTTTACTGCGGCTGAAATATTCATTTTTAGAGCATTAGTGAATAAAAAAAAAGCAGTATAAAAACCGGAATGTCCAACTGATAAGGCTGAAAATTTTTTCACTTGTTATTTACAGTAAGATAAATACATTCACCAACTTTTATTAAAATAAAACCATTTAAACTGGGTGTTCGGATTTATATGTCACTTAGTATATTTTAAATTACTGTGATATTGTCTATTTTCCGTCATTAGATTCCTTTACAAAAAACATTATCCAAATCATTCAAAATAATTGTGTACGGTTCATTTTTGGATTACGAAAATATGACCATGTTTCAGCCAATTACTAAATATTGAAGTGGATGAAATTTGAGAATTTAGTAATCTACCACTATTTAATTTTCATACATAAATTGTTGCATACGTCAAAGCCTTTATATCCTAGAGAAAAAATTGTTTTCAGTAAAGATGTGCAGACTAGACCGTTATAATTATAATAGTTCCACCGCACAAAACAACCTTTTTAAAGCGAAGTTTTTCGTATAATTTAGCTAACAGGTATAATCCAATACTTGAAGTGTACAAGTATATAAGTTATAGTCTTTATCTACATTCCGCAACAAAATTAAACTGTTTATAAATTCACTATCCACTTAATCTTATCATTTCTATATTTTATGATATATTATTCTCGATTTACAGATTTTCTGATCTTGTTCTTGCCTGTTTTTTTTTTATTTCTGAATTGTGTGTGTGTATCGCTAACTGATTGGTTAAGTGTAAGAGTAGTCAATCATTTGGTGTATTCCCAAATAAAGACGACTATTACAAACACAACAAACTCGGAATGGACAACGCCTTTGACATCAAAAAAATCAAATCAGCATTCTTTTGATGTTTGACTTGACTTGACGACATTCTTTGGACGGGGGACGACGGCGTTTTCCATTGACTTGACTGTTGCTTCGTTTCTGGGTCATAACCGTAGCACCAAGTCTCATCACCAGTGATGATCTTTGACAGGAAATTTGGATCAGATTCAAGCTGTGGTTTTAAAGTACGATATGTTTCAACTTGGTGTTCTCTATAATTGTCAGTCGGAGCCCGAGGAACAAACTTGGCAGCAACCCGTTTCATTCCCAAATCTGTTAAAATTCGCTGAACCGAACTCCAGGACAACTCACTACTTACGGATAGTTGATCGATTGTCAGTCGACAGTCTGCAAGCACAAGCTCTCGACGATTCGAGAGTTGATGGACGTCCAGAGTGAGGTTTGTCATCAACCGACATGTCGCCATTTTTAAATCGAGCAAACCACTCGTACACCTGAGTTTTTCCCATAGCATCATCTTTGTAAGCTATTTTCAATATTAAAACAGTTTCAGCAGCATTTTTACCAATTAGAAAGCAAAATTTCACAGCTGCACGTTGCTCACTGAAGCTTGCCATCGTAAAAAACGAATCAAGCACGAAACAGCTCTAGCAAAAATAATAACTATAGAGGAACGAAACAAACCAGATCGACAACTCAGGAGGCACTGAACTGGTAATGAGTTGCGCTGTACGCCTCTAGGGGCAGAAATGTGTACTACACAAGCTTCGGCCACTGCAATGATATTCCGGATATTTTTGAGTACCTCCTCGTATATGTTTTTTGGGTGACTGAAACCGAAACCGGAGCCCATTCAAAAACGACTAACAAAAAATTTTCAATGATATGAATGGAAGCTTGTTTTTCACATAAACCGGATGCGCAGATTCCGATTTCGATGTCAACTTGGTGCTAGAATCCACAAGTGGCGCGGGGTGGCATGTTTGATAACAATTTTTCATCGCTAATTCGGCGCCATGACCCTTTAAGGTTTTTTAACGATGATAAAACTCCTGTATTTTAGATATAGAATTTCCAGACTCATGGAAAATTGCGAAAATTATACCAATATCAAAGAAGTCTGAAATTAATGACTACAATGATCTTTGCCCCATAAGTATTTTACCAGTGCTATCAAAACTAATGGAGATTATATTGGACTAATAAGAGATTATTTAACTGAGAACAATTTGTTCCCAGAACATCAATCGGGATTTAGGAAAGGATTCAGCTGGGAAACTGCACTGTTAAATATAACTGACGACATCTTCAAAGCAACAGATTCCAGAAAAACAACCGTTCTCGTGCTCTTGGACTACTCCAAGGCATTTGATAAACTAAATCACGAAATGCTGTTTGGTATTTTACACTATATAGGGTTTTCCGAGTCTGCTAACACGGTTATGTGCAATTATTTAACTAACAGAACACAATATGTAGAAACAGATAAAGTATGTCCTCCAAAGATGTCATCCCATCGGGTATTCCACAAGGCTCCATTTTAGGACCTCTGATTTTTAGTGTTTATACCTCAAACCTTTCCCAATGTCTCCGAAGTTTGTATGCTGACGATAGTTCTATAAATCATTCAAACTATGAAGTTAAAACCGGAAGTGGGGTGTGTAATGCCGTTGCTGATTTCTTTGCAAGTGTATATGTTAAATCTAAACATTTTTATTTAAACAAGGATGCTAGTCCTATTGATGTTACCTTAATATCCATTGAAAGAATATATCAACAAATAGTGTCCTTAGAAATTAAAAAATCAGTAGGCCCTGACAGCATACCTCCTGTATTTATACAAAACTGTTCCGCTAGCTTATGTTTACCACTTCACCTAATTTTCAAACTGTCATTAACTCAAAGAGTCTTTCCAACGAGATGGAAAGAAGGTGAAATGTTGCCTATTCATAAAGGAGGCTATAGACATCTTGTGGAAAATTATCGACCTATCACTAAACTTTGTATTTTCTCAAAAATTTTTGAAAAGCTGATTTATGATGCTATCTTAAACATTACAAAAAATATCATTACGGAACACCAGCTTGGATTTTTCCCTAAAAGATCTGTAGAGACGAATTTGATGAGTTTTATAGAATATGCCTCTCACGCAATAGATGAGAAACTGCAGGTGAATGTTATTTATACCGACTTCAGTAAGGCTTTCGACAAGATTGATCATTCTATCTCGATGGAGAGACTTGCTGAGGTGGGTGTAGATGGTCCATTATGGCAGTGGCTAGCATCGTATATAAGTAATCGTAAACAAGAGGTGACTATCAATGGGTTTCGTTCGGAGACATTCTTAGTAACTTCAGGCGTACCACAAGGTAGTCACTTAGGACCATTGTTATTTAACAAATACATGAACAACCTTACTTCTGTTTTTCATTTCAGCAAATATTTGTTATGCTGATTATCTAAAGATATTTGCTATTGTTAGAAATGTAAATGACGGTGTAAAACTTCAAAGCGATTTGGAATCTCTGCAAAAGTATTGCACTGAAAACAGTATCTTCCGGAATTTAACAAAATGTTATTACATGAGGCTTACTAGAAACATAGCGAACACTATAGATTTCAGATATAAGATAGGGACGGCAGAACTGGAAAAGCTTCATGTAGTAAAAGACCTAGGGTATACATTGATGAGAAACTCTCATTCATCACTCACGTAGAGCACATCGTAAATGATGCAAATAGAATACTAGGGTTCATAAACAGGACATGCAGAAAATTTACGAACCCTAAAACGCTTCTTTCATTGTACTACGCTTATATACACAACAAATTGATATCTGCATCAGTAATATGGAATCCGTCTTACAATGTACATATAGCCAGGGTAGAAAGAATTCAACAGTTTTTGAAGATGTTAGCACATAAAACTCACCAACCTGCTACAGATCATCATTATACGCAAATTATGAAACAGTTCAATATGATTTCCTTAAAAGATAAAAGAACGATTTCTGACATTTGCTGTGTTCATAAATTGTTGAATGGCCTCACTGACAGAATGTTTAGAACCTATCATCTGTTTAGAATACCGTTCCGTAGAACTAATCTTGGGCTTAATTCCCCTTTGGTCAGGGCTCAAAAAAATCATAATAATTTCTGTAATATTTATTTAACATTAGCTTGAACTTCCTGAAAAAGTATGAGTATTACAGCTCTATGAGAGACTAAAATAGAAATGTTTTATTTTGTTTACATAACTCAAGTTATCACCTCCAATATCATTTCTGGTATAATTTCAATTTAATTTTGATTTCAGTTTTAATTAAACGTAAGTAAATGTTAAACTATGTATACTCCTTTTATTAAAAAGGTTAAATTAATAGTTTATTGCTTATAATTAGAACTACTCACTCAGTTTATGTTATTACAACAATATCGCAAGATAAAAAAAAAAGATAAAAAAAATATTAATATTAAAGTATTCAATAATGTAATATATGTATATGTATACGATATTTTATGTAAGTTTAGTTTTAGTTCACTGAGGGTGTGTGTTGGGTTTACCTGTTAACACCCCAAACTGTATATAAATAAATAAATACTCAGCTTTGTTTTTCTTTCAATCCTAAGAGAAACGTGCGCATTTGCCATTATTAACCGAGATATTGAAAAATTAGTTGTATTTTCGGAAAATCATGATCTACAGATTAATGCAAGCAAATCACAACTCATGTTATTTGGCAGATTGAAAGACAACATCGAATCTATACCTTGCTCTGCCACTGTGAGAAATTTGGGAGTAGAATTTGACTCATATCTAAGATTTAAGCCTCATAATAAATGTATCCAGAAAGCTTATGTTTCTCTAAAAGTTCTATATGCTCATCGATATGACCTCCCTATTAAACTTAAAATATTGCTTTGTGAAGTACTAGTAGTCAGCCATTTTAATGTTTGTAACAGAGTTCATGGGTTTTGTTTAGATGAGATTGACATGGATAGAATTGAACGTGTACAGAAGTCCTGCCTACGATTTATTTATGGTATACGTAAGTTTGAAAGAGTTTCACATCAGTTGCTTGATGCAAACTGGTTGAATATGTTATGTCGATGTGAGTTGCGTGCATGTAATCATTTTCACAAAATTATGTTTTTTAAGCAACCACCATATTTGTTCAATAGAATAACTTTTCGCGGCGATGTTCAACTTAAATTTGCGGTTTCGGAGCTACATATCACCTCCTCCTCATCAAACTTCTCTTTTCTGTAGATCTTTCTTATACAACATTTACCGGCTTTACAATCAAATTCATAATGACTTTAAAATTCTACATCCAAACCAGTTTAAAATCAAGTATAAAAAAATTATTTTTGAGAGACACTCAGCGCACATTAATCTAAATGAGGCACACGCGACCAAAGTAATGAAAAAAAAAATTTTTGTACTATAACTCACATCTATTATTCTAGGCTTTCTTAAGGTAGATCTTTCTTTTTATATATCTTTCTTATATATTTAGATATATATATATATATATGGGTGTCCGCAAAGTTGGGGTTTTCCTTTTCAGAAACAACTACCCTTGAAATAACAAAGGTAATGTGTAGTGAAACGAGGGCGACCAAGAAAAAAAAATAAAGGAAAAAGTACTCACTCTCCAGTTGACGAGAAGGGCTAAGTACGTCTCTGCCTGAAATCGAAAGTTATTCACCCCATTACGCGTGAACGTAGATTCGTCTGTCACGAATCTGCACTTCAAAAAGTCCGGATTATTGTCATGTTGATGCAACAACCACTCACAAAACCGCACTCTTGCTGGAAAATCGTCAGGTTGAAGGGTTTGTACACGTTGGACGTTTGCCACACTTTAGTTTTTGATACTTGCACTTCTCTAGCCACGTCTCTAGTGCTTGTTGAGGGATTCTCGTCTACGCGATTCAGTACTTTTTCCTCAACTTGCACCATTCGTGGTTGTCTAGGCCTCCCAATGTGCCCACCTCGAAATTCCTCCAAATGGCCCGTATCCCTGACTCTCTGGACCAGGTACACAAATCTGCGGGGCCTTGGATGATGTCGTCTAGGGAAACGATCTGCATACACTCGCGACGATTCTGTAGCATTTTGAAGACATTCGCCATAAATTAACAACATATCAACGAGTTCATTATTGGTGTATGAGTGTGCCATTATTATTTTTTTTTGAAACGCAATCGATTATACGGGTTCGTTACCTCTATACGCGTGACCCTTTACCGTCGGTTGAAGGTTGCATACTGACCTGACACACTGACTCCGACCCCCGACCCAGTTCTGTCGTCGGGTTCAGCTAGTAGCCGGTACCAGTCTGGGATATCGCGGCGGGTCGCGGCTACAGGACGGTATTCAGATATTTTTGATGTTGCAGAGCCCTTTATCTCGGTTCCCTTAAGACATTGGTGTATATGGTACTAAGAAAAATTGCTTAT